ACAGGCAGCTCAAACGTAATGTAACAGTCAGGTCTGTTAATGTCATCTTGCCCAAAGCTCACAACATACAGCTGACGGTCAAGGTAGATATTAAATTAATCCAATGCTTCAAAAATTAAACATCTGAATGACAAGTGTTAAGAAAGCATGAAATGGTTGCCATGGTCACAGCCCAGTGTCAGGTTCCTCCTGTGACAGCGGGACGCCAGCTGCTGACGGTCCCACTAGCCTATGGCTGCTTATTTCCTCAGCTCCCCCTGCACAAACACCATCAATCATCACTCGTCCCAGTGACCCACTGACATCCACTTCCTTTCCTCTCTCCTGTCCCATAAAGTGAGAACTACAGAGCAATCAATGACCCCAAGGATGAAAAAATGCCACACATGCAATCTAACACTCAGATTTTATTAAAATTGAACCCAAATTTCAGAAAACCCAAATTTCTTTGATATTCTCCAAATGACCACTCTCATTTCACAACCTCAGCAGAAAGGAAGAAGTTACATTTGTCATTTCAGAAATTTTCTCAACTGTCACGGCAACACTTTAGCTTTAATTGTAGTTTCCTGTGACAATGACGTTTAACAGAACTAAAGAGAAGAGATGGCCTGAAAAACAGCATCAGTTTTTCTTCTAAGGATTTGATAATTCTGATTTCTTCACCTGAAAATTATTGAATCCTTTTCTGTTTTAATTCCAGAAGAATAAAAGTGCTCCTATGAAACCCCATCCATTAGGCCTTCATGGGTGATTACCACTGGTCAGCTATGATGTTCAACACCAAAGCCCAGCTAGACGCATGGCAGGAGAAGGACCCAGATTGCACTGTCCATCTCCTCTCACACATCCACCACCTTCTTGGGATTGCACACATCTGTCTGTTGGTTTGAAACAGCAAACGAATAGATAAGACCGGGGTGTGAGAAAAATGAATGCTAATCTGCAGGAAAAAATGTTAAATGCATCCTCAATTGTTGGAACTGTCTAAATCCAACCACTCAAAAATATTCAGAAACCTAGGAAATTCATTTTTGCCTATAAAAATGGAATTTTATGTGGTTTAGGTAAGGGTGGAGGTTATGTATAGTATGTGAGCACACACATTCCGAACTGATGTGAATAGTTTCATATTGGATGTAAAGAGACAACTGACTCACTTACTTAAGCATTTTTTTTTTTAGATTTATTTTATTTTTATTGGAAAGGCGGATACACAGAGAGGAGAGACAGAGAGGAAGATCTTCCGTCCGATGATTCACTCCCCAAGTGAGCGCAACGGCCAATGTTATGCCAATCCAAAGCCAGGAGCCTCTTCCGGGTCTCCCACGCGGGTGCAGGGTCCCAAAGCTTTGGGCCGTCCTCGACTGCTTTCCCAGGCCACAGGCAGGGAGCTAGAAGGGAAGCAGGGCTGCTGGGATAGAACCGGCACCCATATGGGATCCCAGGCGTGCAAGGTGAGGACCTTAACCACTGCGCCACCGCGCCGGGCCCTACTTAAGCATTTTAAAGTAGCACTGGCTCAGACTTGACCACATAGCATGAAGAATCTGCGATAAGCTTCACGCTACAGAAGTGTCAAGCACCTTGTATTTCATTAGGAAGAAGCTGGAAAACTTGCATGCTTGAAGAAAAGCTGAAACAACGTTTCAATTGGTGTCCCAAAACAACCAATGACAATGTGTGTACTTTGCATAAGAGAATCAAGTTTAGTTTTGCAAAGCCAAAGTTATCTCTAAAAGTGTATTAACTTAAAATGCCCATTATTAAGTTTTGCCTATGTATAAGTGATCAAGGCACACAAAACAAGAAATACAGAATACCTAGAAAGATGCCACCTGAGGTACATGTTTCCACTGCATGAAGGGACCAGGCTTCAAACACAATAAGGACACACTAAGATAAATCATAAGATGTTCAAAACAAGATTGCATTTTGTATGCATGTATACCTTCACGAAATGTTGCACTCGCTCTAACACTGAACAAAGCCCATGCCGGCCCCGGCTCGGAGTGCTGGCTACAGTCCCGAGTCCAGCCGCCCGTTCCTGCACAGTGCAGGCGATAACAGGTCATGACACACAACCAGACCAAACTGCTGGCTCCCATCTCTAGCTTGGCCCGGCCCTCACATTCACAGGTCTTCATCCAAGACCACTGGGAAGAATCAAAAGGAGCGAGGGAAAAAAATCACGAAGAACCTCAAACTCAGGCTTGAGAAGATTCCAGAGGAGCAGAGGCAAGAAGCAACTAAGCAAAGCCATTCTATCTGTGAGCTTCACGGGCTGGAAAAGCCAACCACTAGCACAGCACTTATACCACACAGGAAGCACCAAGGAGAACTGATGGAGAAAGTGGTCCAGCGGGCTAGGAGGGTCATTTACCAGGAGCCCCTCTCCCCTCACCCCTCAGGCAGCTTGGAATTGAGTGGGGCAGGCCCCAGGACACAGTAACATTCACCACTCTCTAACATACTACTGCATACCACACTCTTGCCAGGTGGATGTATTAATTCGATTTTCACAACACTGCACTCTCCCCTCAGAATCTAAAAATGTTCCGTTTTTAACTAACATTTCTAAAATACTCCTGAAATCAAAGTAGGTGATATTCTTCTTGATGCAAAAAACAGTAATTTTGGACACACTCAGATCCTATTGCTAATAAAGAAAGTATCCAACAAGATTTGAAGTGAAAATCCACAAAACAGCTACCAGGGGAAAAAAGAAAAAAGACTTGAAATAGTGATACGAGAAAGTCCTTAACCTAGCTTACCACCTGCGGGTGAGTGTGTGTGTAAGGGAGGGGTGTTTCCCCAGGGGTTCAGGTCTTAAGATCGTGCAGCCTGGGGCTAGAGAGGTGGCTCAGCAAGTTAACTCAGCTGCAAGTCCCAGCACTCCATGTGGACGCTGGGCTTCGTCCCCGCTGCTCCGCTTCTGATCTGGCTCTACATAATGGCCTGGGTAGACAGTGGGGGATGACACAGGATGGCACCACATGGGGTGGTGGGGTGGGGAGAAAGCTCCTTGCTCTGAGCCTTCCATCAGCTCAGCTCTGGTCACTGTGGCCATTTGCGGAGTGAATCAGAGAAGACCTCTCGCTGTAAATCCGCCTTTCAAACAAAAATAAGTAAGTCTTTAAAAGAGAATTAAAAATAAGATTAGAGAAAAATCTGGCCCAATTACCACCTCCTCAAAGATCTCACTATATGTTTGTTCTTACGCGAATAGAATAAGCATTGTACATGAGAGAATAATTGACATGTATCATTGCCTAACTTAAAAGCAACTGGCAAACGCTGTTCCCCTGTTCCCCCGCATCCTCAAGCCAAGGCACGTCAGAACCCTTGGCGTGGAGTTACCTGCATTCCATGCGAATAGAAAAACCAACTGTGGGCCCGGAGCTGTAGCCTAGTGACTAAAGTCCTCATCTAGTATGCTTTGATCCCATATGGGCATCAGGTCGTGTCCTGCCTGCTCCACTTCCCTTCCAGCTCCCTGCTAGTGGCCTAAGAGAGGATGGCCCAAAGCCGTGGAATCCTGCACCCATATAAAAGGCCCTTTAGAAGCTCCTGGCTCCTGGCTTCAGATTGGCTCAGCTCCAGTCATTGTGGCCTACTTAGGGAGTGAACCAGTGGAAGATCTTGCTGTCTATAAATCTGACTTTTTAATAAAGAAATCTTAAAAACAAAAATGTGTAACAACTTCAGCTTCCAGCGCTCCTGCCAGGCAATCTGAAGCTCCATGTCCTGTAGAGGTAGACCCTGAAGAGCCCACAGCCCATCACCCTGCAGGCACCCATCCCATCCGCCTGCTCCTCCGCAAGCCAGTGGCTCCAGGAACACCGAAGACCTGCTCCGTGTCCTCCTCCAACGGGGCAGACCTCCACCGGCTCCCAACCGCTCCATGTGCAGCAGCACACAGCAGCACAGCCAAACCCGACCTGACCCCGGCCTAACTCCTCAGAAATCAATGCCCTACAGGAACTTCCGCCCCTCTGCTCTGCCCAGCTTATGAGACAACAAAGCAACTTAACAACAACAACAAAAAAAGAGTCCTAAAAAAACTGTGCTGAGAAAAAATGAAGCCACACATTTGGAACAATGCAGTGCCATGATTTCCTGATAGACTGAAGAGAGCATTACAGGAATCATCACTTAAGCCTGCCCCTCTGGTACCTAACTCCAAGACTATTTTCTCCATCTGCAAAAAAGCAGAACAAAAACCCCCACAGGAGCGGACGGAGCCTCCCCTGTGCAACCACCAAGATAAGCGGACACGCCCGTGGCAACCTGCAAGGTTCCGTGCTTTCCCAGCCCCGAGGCCGGCCAGGCCTCCAGCCCTCACTCGCTCCTTGGCTTGCCAACACCCTGGACGTCCAGCGCCGTGCCAAGCCCACAGCGCACACGCTGAGGAGCACGGCAAGGGCAAGTGGCACCCCAACACCCCCTTCCTCAAACCCACAGAACACGTGGGAGAAGCTGGGAGTCCGGGGGGCACGTGGACAAGAGCGGGGAACCCCCACGGGCACAGAGGCCAGGAGCCCCGACAGGACAGGCAGGCAGGGGAGGCCGGGAGCCCCCACAGGCGGGCAGGGGGTTGGGGGGCTAAGGGCCAGGAGCCCCGACAGGACAGGCGGGCAGGGGAGGCCGGGAGCCCCCACAGGCGGGCAGGGGAGGCCGGGAGCTCCCACAGGCGGGCAGGGGAGGCCGGGAGCCCCCAAAGGCGTACAGGGGAGGCCGGGAGCCCCACAGGCGGGCAAGGGAGGCCGGGAGCCCCCACAGGCGGGCAGGGGAGGCCGGGAGCCCCCACAGTCGCGCGGACTAGGCCGGGAGCTCCGAGGGGCGCACAAGAGGCAGGTTCAGGGGCTCACACTCTGAGGAGAATATTAGAGGAGAAGTTTAACTAAAATAAGAAAATAAATCAACGAGGAAGGCAAAGGAAAACAGAAGGGGACGGACCATGACTTATTTAAACAGAGGCAGCCACTTCCGGACCCTACCTTTCTGGGACTCCACTTCCGGTCTCCTCTGAAATGCCCGCTCCCCACGAACACATCCCCGCAGCCAATGAGAGAGTCGGCTGCTTCCGCGGTCCCGCGAGACTCCGCCCACGTCCCACCTCTTCCGGCAGAAAGCAGCCTATCCGGGCGTCTTTTTGGCGCCTCTCCGGAGGCGGTGCCGGGATAGACCCAACCGAATGGCAGGAGGGGTCGAGAAGGACAGGCGGGGCGAGCACGCCCCTTCCGCCCCGGGCCCGGAAAGGTGATGTGGCTGAGGCCGCGCCGAGCTCACTATGGTAAGAAGTGGGGCTCCCGAGGGATTCCTGGGCGGCGCGTGGGGGCTGCGGGCCCCGGTAGGGCTTGGGGGTCACGCGGGCTGGGGAGCCGCGGCAGGGTCCCAGTTCCCTGGTGCCATGGGCCGGTCCCTGCCCGCCCCGTCGAGCCCGATCCGAGGGGGACCCCGGGTTCCGGAGCCTGCACCTCCCAGGCAGGTCCTCGGAGATGGCCTTTGGGCGTTGGCTGACGCTGTGAGGGGTGCAGGCTGCAAGGGTTCCCCCTTGGGCTATCCGCTTTGGCTCTGCTCTCCCTGTTCCTCGCTCCGGCCTGGCCCCTGCTGCTGATCCTAACTGCACGTCAGCAGTGTCACCTGTTGATGCAACGGGCCCGCAGCCGCGGGTCCTCCTCCCAAGGCGGGATTGGCATCCTTTGCAGAGGCGGGTCTGTGTACTGCGAGCTCCTTGCATGTCTTGTGGAGGAGTGTCTGTCCTGGATCCCCAAAAGCGAGGTTTTGGTGTTGCACGTTCCTTTGACCCTGTAGACCCCTCAGAGATGCTTGAACCCAAATGCTTGCATTTCCAGACTCGGGAAGAGAAGTGGAGTCGGCGTGGCCAGCGGACAGATAGTGTTATTGGTCGTGATTGAAATATCAGAAGCTGTGTGAAAGCCCAGTGCAGGCAGCCTGTTTCTGGAAAAAGTGTGCATGTTTGTAATTGCTGCAAAAAGAGCTACCATGCCTCCCTCCCCCAAAGTTAGAATTTCTGCTGTGAGCCCTTACACCCCTGGGGAGACCAGCAGCCACTTAGGGCAGCTATGCGGGAGACCTCTCCCTGGACAAGACCTTCTGCCATGTCCTCCCTCTCGGCTGCTGTGTCCAGGTTCCACCATGTAGATGTGGGTGGATAAGCAGTGCTTGTCCTGGTCACATTTTGTGCGTGCTCCATTTGACAGTAGGACTCGCCCTTGATGTCTTGCTGTTTTCCTGGAGTGTGAAGTTGACTCCTCAACCTCCTGGCCTGTGACCTGGCGAGAAGCAGCCACCCTGTGGAAGATGAGCCTTCCTAGGCTAATTGCTCCAAAAGGAGCCATGGCACCGTTGAGCAGCACTTGCATGCTCTCGGTTCAGCTGGTCCAAAGCCAGGAGGTTCCAGGGGAAGGGAGAGGGGCAGCATTGCCCGGGATCCCACGTGGAGTTGGGAAGCCAGGATTCAGACCTCAGTTAGCATCCCCGTGGCAGTCTCTGCTCGGTCGATGAAGAAGGCTGTAAGATCCATTACCCTCCTGTCTCAGTGGGTGTCATTGCTTATCTGGGTGCCAAAATCCACAGTGAGAACGTGGCTGGGGCAGTTCTGATCACTTCAGTTCATGATTGATTTATTTGAAAGGCAGAGTTACAGAGGGGGCTGCCGGGAGAGGGAATGGAGCGCTTATATCCATGAGTTCACCCCCCAAGTGGCTGCCACGGCTGGAGCTGCAGCAGTCCAAGTCCAGGAGCTTCTTCCAGGTCGCTTGTGGATGGAGGGAGCCAAGCCCCTAAGCCTTCCTCCTCGGCTTTCCCAGGCACGTTGGCAGGGGGCTGAATCAGAAGTGGAGCAGCCAAGACTGGCAGTGGTAGCAGATGGGGGTGTGGCAGCTGCCTGCCATGTGCTGTGCTCCTGAGCATAAATGGCACCTGGTTGTCCAGCCTAAGTTCTTGGGGATTTTCGCCAGGGGCTCTGGGAAGGGCCGGGTCTCTGGGTACTGTCGATCCTAGTGAGCACACGGCCTGCGGGCAGACTCCAGCACCCCGGGAGCAGAGCCGCTCTGTGTGCACTCTGGCCTTTGAGGAACTTTCCCTGGGAAGTGGAATGAACACGAAGTGGGAATTTTCTGCTTACTTTTTTAAAGCTCCCTGCTGTTTTGGGACACCACTTAATTGGTCAGAGAATCATTTTCCCTTCTCTGTCTTTTCATCCCAGTGCGTTTATATCTTATAAGTTCTTACAGAACCATATTCTGTATATACTTTTTATTTTTATTGGAAAGTCAGATTTATAGAGAAGGAAAGACAGATCTTCCATCTGCTGGTTCACCCCCCAAGTGGCCACAGTGGCCAGAGCTGAGCTGATCCAAAGCCAGGAGTTTCTTCCTTGTCTCCCACGCAGGTGCAGGGTGCCCAAGGCTTTGGGCCATCCTCGATTGCTTTCCCAGGCCACAAGCAGGGAGCTTGATGGGAAGTAGAGCAGCTGGGACACGAACCCGTGCCCTTATGGGAATCCCAGCGCCTGTAAGACAAGGATGTAGCTACTAGACTACCAGGCTGGGCCCGTTTATACCTTCTTTATTCAAGTACTCTGATAGTTTATTTTGCAATTTTCATAGTCCTAAAAGTAAACACGAGAGGAGCCAAAGCTGAGGGTAATGACATGTGTTTAATTAGGGTTCTAAATTTGGCTTAACTGTGCTTAGGAGCCAGTCAGTCATTTGAGCAGTCAGTGGACAGAGGGTGTGCAACTGTAATTTTAGTAATTTTTACTTATAAATGTTTGTTTTATAAACATTATTAAACTTTTGGTACAGTCTGTCGTGCAAGAATGACTGAAAATATGAGTTTAGATAAAATGATTAAAAATTGAACCTGAAAAAAAAGATTGCTCAGCCTGCGAGGAGCCGTGAGAATACAGGCTGTTTTATAGGTTGGGCAGCGTTGGGGGCAGCTCGTGTAGGAGCTGCGGAACCCGGCCCCGATTCTCCTGCGCCTGCGCAGTGCTGAGTTGCGGTGTCCTGCGCAGTGGCGGCCAGGTGAAAGCCTGCGCACTGTGGGCATGTTCCCTAGAGCCCCAGCCGATTCACTTCACACTGATGCACCGCGTTTCTTCTGGTCTGGGTGTGCTAACTCAGTGTTCTGACTCATTGCCTCAAGCACGTGAGACGCTCCGGTCAGATCGGAGTGTTCTGACAGCCTGCAGTGCGCAGGACTCCAGGGCCTTGGAGCCTCCCAGTCACGCGGGGCGTGAGCTTAACCCTGATCAGGTGGAAGGTCAGTGCAGGATCGCTGAGTCTCACACCCATTCTGTTCTTTTTTCAAAAGATTTGTTGGTCCGAAAGAGGGAGAGACTAAGATCTTGCATCTGCTGTGTCACTCCTCAGGTGGCCACAACTGCCCACGTTGTGGCAGACGTAAGCCAGGAGCCTCTTGCCAGTCTCCCTCGTGGGTGAAAGGGGCCCAGATACTCGGGCCACCGTCTGCTTTGCCAGGCACTTAGCAGGGAGCTGGATTGGAAGTGGAGCAGCCGGGACACCAACTGGCAGTTATATGGCAGCAGATTTCCCCAGTTTGTGCTCAGGGCAGCGTCATAGGCAGCCATGTGCTAAGGAACTGACTGGTACAGAATACCTTTTTATGAAAAGGAGAGACTTAGAGGTAAAGTTTTGATATTTGTAAGCCAAATGCCACCTGCTTTTCCTCACAAACCCATGAGTGTGTTACCTGGCAAAGGGTTTTTGCATCTGGGGATGAGATTTCCGTGTTGAAAGATTCGCCTAGATTGGGGCAAGGTGGTTGTAAAGTCAGTCACAGAATGTGTGTTTGCCACATTCAGGTTCAGGCAGGACTTACAGCCAGGAAGGGCATGGCCCCACGAGGGTGGACAGGGCAAGGAACTGCTTCTGAGTCAGTTTCCAGCACCAGTCGTCTAACCTTGACATCTGGAAACATAGTATCTGTTTATATGTGTTTATGGTGATTTGTTACAACAGAATCGGAATCTGTTACATTAAGGAGAGCTTCAGTGCCAATATTTGTCACTATCCATAAAATTGTGGACCATTGTAAATTATGCCAGAGGAGTTCAATTCAGTGAAAACATAAATTGGTGAAGCCTTTGAAAAAACGTGTTATTATTACCCAGCAGTTTAGTACTGTTCCTCCCCACCCTCTAAAATGTGCACAGAGCAAAGGCAGATGAACTTGACTGCTGCACGTTGTTTATAATCTTGGGGATGCTAGAGACCAACTGTTGCTCATTGAAGGGTAGCAGAGTGATCCTTCTTGACTGATCCAAAGTCAAGGCGAGACAAAGTAAACAGGACCAGGACCACACATGCAAGGGACCCAGAACACACGACTCATGGCAGCTCCTCAGCCCCGGCCCTGTGCTGGACACTGGGGCGAACGGAGTGCGCCTCTGGATACTGGCGTGATGTTCATTCCGAGTTTGTCATTGCGAGGGAAGCTGTAGAAAAGTATATAGAGTAGAACTCCATGTTTTTGAAAACCTCTTCGTGAGTGCGTTGTTTTCGCACGGGGAAAAGGCCAGTGTCTGTATTTATCCAGTTGTCAGCAGTGCACGCCCTATGGCTGCCCTGGAATGGGGAGAGAGCGTTTTTAACTTTGAGTGGGTCTAGATTGTTAGCTTGCACTAATAGACGTGTAGTCTGTTAGGGGCCGTCCTCGTTTGCTTTGTATCACTATGTTAAAACATTATGGAAGTCCCTAATGGAAGCTTTAACTTTTGATTTTGTGTGCTGTTACAGACACCTTTGATTTGTAACTTTCAGGCCTAACCAAGGGTAAAACCTCTGTTTTATAGTGTTGCCCCAGTGAGGAAAAAGGGCTATTCTCAAAAACAAAAGCATTGGAAAGTATAGGGTATCTTCTGCACGTAAGACCTGCTTCAATATTTATTGTCTTTTAAAATCATGTTTGTGTAAGTAAAATGCAAACTATCGATACAGCAGCTTTAGTTAAGAGTAACATCTGCTAAAATGAACCTGTCAAGCTTCAATACCCCTGGCTGTAAAACTCTGTCCCTTGATTATTGTTTAAGTACAATAGACGGAGAAACAAAACGCTGTATAGATTTGCCTGCCCTGGAAAAGTCCTCTTCCCTTCTCACAGTTTGCTTATTTGGCTTACTGGCCAAAGCAATAACTAGGTATAAGCCAGGGATCCTCGGGGGCGATGGGGACATGCACACTGCTGCCCGGGGGCTCTGGGGCCGGCTTGGGCACTGCACACCGCTGCTGCTCACCTAAGTCACTGTGCCCGTACCAAAGAATATTTAACTATCTATGAAGGTCTGCTCACCATCTTGCTTCCGTGGTAACAGTCGCAGGTTCATGCCAGTCTGAGGCGGCCGCCATGCTTCTCTGTTAGCATAATCCTTGTTCAGCAGGCTGAGCTGCTGTCTTTGTTCTGGAATCTGAGTGTGCTCTCACTGGCTGAAGTGCTCATTACCGCACCGCATTTTGCAGTGCTTACCTTGTGCTTTTCTGCTAAGTAGAGATCTCAGGAAATCAGTGGAGGTGCGGTCCGACAGGAGCCCTTCTAGGAAAGGTCGTGGGTAATGTGTGGACACGAGGGTGCTGACCCCACAGAGCGTGCGGCGTGGGCACAGGGAGGCCCTCCTAGAGGAGGGCACACTCAAGACTGAGTCGGGTCACTGCGCAGCAACAAACAGCACCTTGGCAGAGACTCACAATTTAAGGGATCTGAAACAAATACCAAAGTCATTAAGTGAATTTATGTGCTAGAATCATCTTGCCCTTTATTATATAATCAGCTTCCTTTGTTCCTGTTAATAACATTTTCATACTGAAAATCCCAATTTTTCTGTCAGACAGAAACATCAGCCTCCTTTAATGCTGCAACCAAAATGTCCTGTGCTTGCTTCTCTCCTTTGCACATCTGGATTGGGTCCTTTACCCACAAGCCATCACTTGCTACTGTGCTCTAATGCTTGGCTTTCAAACTACACATCATATTCTTGGTTGCTTAGAACTGCTGTCTAGCTCAGTAGTCAGTGTTTGTTTGAAAGGCAGGACAGGGTGGCGAGACTTGTAGCCACTTACCCTTCCGCACACATCGGTGGGCACACTCCACAAGCATGCGGCAGGCCAGGCAGAGCCAGGCCACTAGAGCTCCATGCTGTGTGCTGGCCAGCTGGTGCAAGAGGGCAGGGACTCCCTGCAAGGCTGGCCCACTTGGGTCTGGTTGAGTCTGCAGAGTCGGGGCTCTGTTCCCAGACTGCAAGCTTGGTCCTCCTAGCCAGCTGTGACTCTGTTCCATGAGCTTGTGGTCTCATGCTACTCATGAACATATTCATATACAAGTCAAAATATGACCCTTGGAAGAAAAGAGTTTTAAGACCTTGTTTTTTCTGCTGGTACTTGATCATTAGCTGGCATGTTTCAAAGCTACAAAATTAAAACCCAGTGTAGTTCACAGTCGCAATGTGTTGAACTTTAGCTTTCCTATATACATACAGCATTTCATCACAAAAATAACAAATATTAAAATATGAGTTAAAGAATAATGTAGATATAGCCACTGTATCTTCCTGCTTTTGCATAAAGGTTTGCACACTAAAGATGTGCTCATTGTAAAATATTGCACCCTTTTTCCCACATACCCATTTTTAACATACAGTTAAGAATATGGTAGATGGGCCCAGCACAGTAGCCTAGTGACTAAAGTTCTCACCTTCGTCTGCCGGGATCCTATATGGGACCCACTTCGTGTCCCAGCTGCTCCACTTGCCTCCCAGCTCCCTGCTTGTGGCCTGGGAATGCAGTTGAGGTTGTCCTAAAGCCTTGGGACCCTGCATCCCTGTGAGAGAGCTGGAAGAAACTTCTAGCTCCTGGCTTCAAATCGGCTCAGCTCAGGTCATGGCAGCCACTTAGGGACTGAACACAGGTGAAAGAAAATTCTCTCTCCTCTCTGCAAGTCTGCCTTTCCAAGAAAAGTAAAGAAATCTTTAAAAAAAAAAAAAAAGAATATTGGTAGGTAGCAAATATATATAATGTCTTGTTTTTTTTATAGTTACACGTATCATAAAATTTTTAAAAGGGATTATAGGGACCACCTGGTATGGTTGTGGCTGACAGCCCCATCTGTGATGCCTGCATCCCCTTCGGGCACCAGTTCCTGTTCCTGCGGCTGTGCTCCCTGTCCGGCCCCCTGCTAGTGGCCTGAGGAAAGGAGCGGAAGGTTGCCCCAAGGTGCTTGTGCCACCCACTTGGAAGACCTTCAGCCTGGTCCAGCTGTGGCCATCTGGGGAGTAAACCAGCAGATTTAAGATCTCTCTGTCCCCCACACAAATGCTTTTTTTTTGTTTTTAAGGAAATTGTAACAATTTCTTGCAAGGCTAGTTCTTAAGATTCTCCTGGCTTTTCTTACTCATTTTCTGTTTAAACTTCAGAATCAGCTGTCTCAAAAATAACTTGTTAGTATTAATTTTACTTTAAATTCAGAAATTCGCCTGACCATGCTGTCTTCCATTCTTAAGAAACTGGCATGAGTCTATTCTGCTTTTGTGTTTTTCCGTGTGTTTTCTGGGTTTCAGCTTTTGCTTTGCCGCCAGGGTTCTGTGTTTCATGTCAAGGCTTTTCCTAAATGGCTTAGCTTGCGCTCCCAGTCCTCCTACCACAGATGTAATCTTTTCTATTTTGCCTTTCAGCTGGATGGTAATGCATGAAGACTGTGGATTAACATAGTTTAACCCCATTAAGTCTTAAATTTTATTTACTTGAAAGGCAAAGTTACAGTTAGAACTTTTTAATTTTTTTGTTGTAGTGAAGTTTTTTAAGTTAGGAAGTCACAGAAACACATTCAGGGATACGGTGGGACAGAGATGGGAAAGGCGAGAGGCAGATGTTCCTACTTTCCTGCTGTGTCCCAGCTTTTAGGTTCTGTGCGTAGGTCTGTCCAAGTTGGATATTGCTCTGTTGAAGTCTCAGTGAGTGTCCCACACCAGGACAGTGGATGGAACGGGTGTCACTTAGCACGCAGCCAGCTTCCTCAGCCCCCGGGGTCTTCAGCATGGGACTCTGCGGCGTCTCAGTTAACCACTAACCTGCAAGGAAGAGTTTGGAACTCGAAATCTTTGTCTTATTCCTGGTTTTTGGAAAATGGTTCTGAGTTTATGCAATTAATATTCTACTAGCTGCTGTGTGAGATCAGTACATTTTATCAACCAGCATAAAAAATGGATGTTAGTCTACATACAGGAATATTATTTCTCTTTATTAAAATGCTTTCATTATTCAACCATTTCTTACTGTGTGGGTCAACACATCAGTGCCGGAAGCATGGTCTGATACCACAGTGTTCATTGACCCTGCTGTGATTGACTTAATTGCAGCGTGCCAAGAGTTCGCTGTGGGGAATGGAATAGAAAGTTTACATGAAAGTGAAAGAGACACAGATGACTCAAGCCCAGTTACTGGAAAAGAGAACGCATAAGTTAAATTTTTGTAAGTTCTATCTCTGTTTTAATTTCGATGTGAGTATTAAATGATGAATAATGTTGACTGAGCAGTAGAAAAAGCAAGTATCTGAATTTCACCACATTTTAGGAGATTATGTGTCAGTACATGGGCAACAGTCTCATGTTAAAAGAATTTTTAAGCTAAAAAGTTCAGAGTTGGAAGAAATTGTAGTCAACATCTATCTCCTGCACTTCTCCCTGCATCACAGACAGAACAGCAAGGTCAGGGGCATTCTGAGGTCCCCCTCCCCACTCCTGCCAGGGCAGGGCCACTTTGGGGGCTTTCTGAGGTCCCCTGACCGCTCCGGGCAGGACAGGGCCACCTCAGGGGTGCTGCGCAGTCCACTCCGGGAACATCTGTACTTAGGAGTCCTGGGGACCCACCTGTGGCCATCGGTTGGAGGATGGTGTTTCATATTTTTGGTTTTGGGTTTTCTGTTGTTGCGTCCCCTGTCTTGAACAGGGAATGCGTGTCTGGAGTAGCCTAGTCTTATGTATTGTCAGGTGTGTCATTTTGTTTGCCTTTTTGAAGAAAGTAAAGCATTCTCAGTATGGAATTGTCTGGCATTTTTATCACATGCAGTTTTTCTTATATTATTTTTTTTCTCTTTTAGTCTGCCATTTTCAATTTTCAGAGTCTGTTGACTGTAATCTTGCTGCTTATATGTACCTGTGCTTATATCCGCTCCTTGGCTCCCAGCCTGCTGGACAGAAATAAAACTGGGTATGTTACTAATGATGTCTAATCACACAAACTAGTTCTTATATTGAATGTAAATTACCATGCAAGTCATTAGACAATTAAATTCCTAAGTGTAGTTTAGTTTGGTAATAATACCTTATGTTGCTTGATCTGTTTTAAAAAAAAAAATGCAAAATCTGTATTTTTGTGGTGTTTTATTGTATTTAAATTTCAACAGTAACCTGAAAAGTGCTGGACAGCAAAGAGCCGTGTGGGGGTGAGTTCCCTGGGTCGGCGTGAGGGTCCAGCGGGCGTGCCCCCATGCCTGCGCTGAAAGCACCTTTCCCTTGTCCCCGCTCAGGTCTGAACTGCACTGCAATAACTTCTCGGCCTTTTGGCTAAGATCAAGTGAATTATACTGCAGCACTCTTGGCCATTTAATTGACTTTGCCCGTTTGTTGATGTTATATTATCTTAATGTATTGCTCAAGCAGTTGGAATTACTTTTCCTTCCCCGGTAATCCAGATTGTTAACGTGTAGTTAACTCAGGCGGTAGAATCCAGGCGAGGCTCTGAACCACAGCCCCTTGAACGCTGGCATCATGGTGTCTCTCTTATAAGATACTTGTGTCATTAACAAATAACCCTGCGGTAGTTCACCAGCACACTTGCACACAGCACGTAGGGTTGCTGGAGGTGGAGAGGTGGAGGTGTCTGCTTCTCCTCTGGGGAGCAGCAGCGCTCCCAGACGTGCAGCACCAACAGGCCTCCCCGGGCGGCCAGCTCCCGGCGCAGGCTCGGTGGCAGTGTATTTCTCCTACAAAAGGTGTCAGTAACAAAGCAGGGCTTCTTTTGCATCTTGTAGTACAGATGAATGCCATCAACTATCGAAGCCATTTTTTTGATCTTTGTTTCCTTCATAAGTCTTTTATTTATTCTCATTTATAAAGAAATATTTTCTGTAAAACAAATTGTTACGATCCTGTGTCCCTTTCTGTTACAATTATGTATTTTTATGGATTTGAAAATCAATTCTACAAAGAATATACCATGCTTAGGTATAGGTGACTCAGCAGATTTATAAAACACTCTCTGATGACTTCAATATATAAAATAACTTGAATTTCTTGCTGCTATAGATGCTTAAAAAAATGAATAAAAGAAAAGATTGCTGCTTTGTCTTTCTTACTTTTGACCCAGTAGCAACATCAAAGGAAAGATATAATGGAATATAGCCACAGAAACTGAACAACATGTTTGATTTTTGTCAACTGAGTACATATTTTTTAAAATATGGATTTTTTTAAATTGGAATGTTACAAAAATATATCTAGGCTTGAAAATAGGGAAATCAGTGTCTCTTGATTTTCCTTGTTAGGGTGTTTTTTGTTGTTCACTTAGGAAATGTAATCTGCTTAGCTGAGTTATAGCATTTTTTAAGTGGTAGCAATATTTCCAGAATATTAGGACTGAAGAAAGCTCTGCTCCCCTAGCCTGGAATCTCAGGCTGCTCTCTGCTCAGTGCTAAGCTACCAGGAAGGAGCTTCTGGTGGCTGAATTTACTCTATAGTCTTAAATTTAGATGAGTACATGTTATAATCAGTGAGTTCTTGGAATCGGCAACCATGGCTTTGCAAGTGTCCAACCTGTTACTTTCCAGGTTTTAATTAGGAAGCATGAGCCAAGTTTAAGAGATACCTGGAGCTGCACGTGTCTTTCAGCAGCTGTACCGTCCGTAACACAGGCTGTGTTAATACTCTAGGGTCTTTCTGTGTGTTCACTCAGTTACCCTCGTGACTTAGCGGTGGTGAGTGCTACTAAAGACATGAAGTGAGTTTCTCAGTCAGTCAGTAACAAGAAGTAAAGAATAGTCCGGTCTTTAAAATGATCTGTATTACTTTGAGGAATATATAAACGCTTACACTTTGAGGATATTCATCCGTATATATATCCGTATATCCCCATAATGAAGTTGATTTATTCGTCAGAATTTCCATTCGCTGAGATCAACCTGTAATTATCAGCTTGTAATTTCACCAAGTCTGTGCTGAATTGCCTCCCCCGCGCCCTTGGGAGTCAGAAAATTATTAGACATCAGAAGAGGAGCGTGTGTGGAATTTAATGGAACCAGGGTTTTCACTGAGTCTTAGGTCTCCAAGACGTAAGGATTTGTTAGCTGTTTGTTTGAGCACATAAGGTATAATGTAAATTTCTGTGGAACTGACCATTTTTGTTTTGTACTGTGATTTTGCTGACCCAATTCTAACGTACACAATAAACGTTAGTTTATCTTTGTAATGTAAACAGTGTTACTTTCTTAGATGCCTCTGTTCATTCATGACTAGATTGGTTATTTTTTTTTTCAATGCTGTTACTCTTTATACATGGCAAATAATTAGAGAATTTTTAGTTAGTAATTAATTCCTAACAGCTAGTAGAATTTAAGTGAACATCTCTATTCTGCTTTATCTTATTACCAGGTTAATATGTGTTGCCATATTCCGTGAACTGATGTACGATTGCCTCTTAATTGGGAATTTTCCTTTCTAAACATAAGTACATGTTTTATTATAATCCTTCATATAATGACACAGAGAAATAATATCGTTTGACTTGATAATTGTATAATAAATACTATATTCTTTAACATTTAAAAGTATTAGTGTTCTTTCAGTGTTACAGTTCATCCAAAACCTGTGTTCACTTATTCTCAATACTTCAATCTTGAGTGTAGTCAGCCCTGTCAGATCTTTACAACTCGTCCATTGTCTTTGTTCGGATTGGACCTCTGACAAATGCATACTCTGTTCTAAAGCAGTGTATGTTGAGTAATGAAAGATAAGTTACTATTTCCTTTCTTGCTCAGCAAATGGCTGTTCCACGTCAAGCAGGCAGATTTCAGTTCTGAAATAGAGCATTACAGGCTAAATTGCATATATCGGAATAATTCTCTAAGATGAGAAATGATTTGTCTTTCCTGGTAACCAATAGCCATTTTTTTCTTTTTTATTCTATGCAGACTGTTGGGTATATTTTGGAAGTGTGCTCGAATTGGTAAGTATCCTTCTATTTCAGTTGTAACATTGGTAACCAACTCATTTATCATAGGCACATAAATCTAATGTCAGTTTGCAAAATGCAGACTTCACAATTTTATGCATTTATGGGGTTTCACAGCACTCCCTTGTGTCACTTAAATCTAAATTCGGTCGATACTTCATAGTATTACAGTGCCAGGGGGACAGAAAGCTACGACAGTGCTTTAACGAAGGTGTTAGATGGTGTAGACACTACGCACGCTTTGTTCTGAGATTTCTGTTGGTTTGTTTCCTGTTTCTTTATTACTATGTAAGAAACAGAGACGAAGAATGTGCCCCGTCTGATGACTTATTTCCCAAAGGTTACAGTGGTCACAGGGCCAAGTCCAGGAGCCAGGAAATCATTTCTGGTCTGTGTGAGCGTCCGGAATCCCATGCTTGAGCCATCACTGCTTTCTGCCAAGGATCAGGAGTGAGGGCGGGGAATGGGAAGCAGGTGCTCTGATGTGGGACACGGACACCCCGAACTCGTGATCTCGGCCATCAGGTCAAAGGCCTGGCCCGCAAGGGATGTCCACCTGTTGATATAGTTTTATGCACAGCGTGTCCGTGTTATAAAGTGAGCTGTGCTGTTTGGAGTTCACCATTTTGATAACTGCAGATCGATTTCCTGTCTAATGAAGGGCTTAATCATATGTATAAATACAGCTGACCATTATGTAACACTGAACACAGACCAGTGCATGGGCCACTTGCAAATGATACATGATGAGATTCAAATGCGTTGTGTGGCTGTGATTTACCAGAAGTCTTGATTCATAGTTTTTATCATTTTGACATAACCAAGTTCCAAAAAAGTATATAAAGCCACAGCATTTGTACTTAACACCAGTTGGACTAAAAATGAGTAATTTCTTCTCCTCTTTGAAATTATTTGCTTAACCAAAAAATGTTTTTAGTTCTCTTCTTCTAACATTGAATTTATACATAACTATTTTTTTTCTTTTGTAAAGCTTATTAGACTTTTCTAAAAGCTTTGGATTTTCCTGCGTTTAATCTAGCTAACCATTCTGACAATGGCCTACATTTCCCAAACAAATACAGGGAATTGAGGATTTTATGCCATTAATGGTGTTCCCTTTGGACTGGTGGATTTTACTCTAATGTCCAAGTTTTCAGAGGTGTGAGAAACTTAGAAGACGGTTCATCATACAGAGCAACTGAACAGAGATTGGAAAATGGAAACTTGGTCTTTTAATTCTTTGAAATTTTTCTGGGGATTGGTATAACATGTAAAAATGATGATCATAAACTATCTTTAAATATCAAAAGCTTCTTATGAGAAAAATATGCTGTTCATCAATGAAATAAATTGAAGGACATGTTTGCTTTTTTAAGATTTATTTATTTTTATGGAAAGTCAGATTTACGTAGAGAGGGAGAGGCAGAGCGGAAGGTCTTCCATCTGCTGGTTCACTTCTCGTGGCCACAACGGAGCTGATCTGAAACCGGGAGCCAGGAGCTTCTTCTTGGTCTCCCACATTGGTGTGGATCCCAAGACTTTGGGCCATCCTCAGCTGCTTTCCCAGGCCACAGGCAGGGAGCTGGCTGGGAAGTTGGGCTGCAGGGATTAGAACCGGCACCCATATGGGATCATGGAGCATGCAAGGCAAGGACTTTAGCTACTAGGCTACTGCTCCAGGCTCAAAGAGCATGTTTTCTTCCCTTAAGATTTTAATATATAAGACCCATCAACAGGAAGCTGTCAGCATAACACTAGAATTCTTTTCTAGACCTGAGATGATGAGATCATAGAATGATTTGACCTTTGGGGCTTCTTGCTGTAACAACGATACCACAGACACCAAGTGTCTCACAGGACAGAACCCCATTGAAGACTCTCATTCTGATCCAATGGCTATGGCCAAACACGATCTTCCAGAGGATTCGGGGTTGTTATTATGCTGCCTTGGAGTTTGTTCTTCTTGACTTTCTCTTACCCCATTAGTGAGTGGGTCTTAATTTTGTAAGGAGTATCATTAGCTTTGACTTGGTTAAAGCCCTGATGCAGCCTAGGAGAGTGATGAGTCAGGAGCCACTGACTGGGTGTGTCTGGACAAAGGCCTGACGTTAGTGCAAGCTAGTGTAGCTCAGGGCGTCACCAAGCATCTTGGGGTGCACACGGGAGCCCCCGTTGATGTTCCCGAGTGCTGTAGGTGCACAGGCTACGTGGCAGTCACACACAGCACACACAGCTGGAGGCCTGAGAGCACAGCACAAGGCCAAGCCGTGAAAAGAGGACAAGGACAGTAAGGAAACCATCCCTGAGTGGCCCATGCCGGTGGCGCTGCTCACTGGCGGTCAGTGTAAGTACACATAAGCCAGATGACTGCCTCAGGCAAGCCAGGAAGCAGTGTCAAATGAGCCCGCGTGGAAGCTGCTGGGAGAGAGGAGGAGGAGCACATCTGGAGTGCTCATCTCGGCTCTCAGACATTGCTGATTCATGCAGGAAACATCACAGTACTTAAAATCCATTGCTGTGTTCAGTTAAGTATGTGCAGCTCCATTCAGTGGGCAGACCAAGTTGACCCTTTACTCTAAGTTGAAGATACATAGTTTGTAGCTTTCCTAATGATTTCCCTCGGTAGGATCTATTTCTGTGTTGCATTATAAATAATGCTTTTCTGTATTCTTGCACATTTTCCCTCTTGACTGTATGCATGTCATATGTGGGACGGTTCAGTTAGAACGAAGCTCTGTGTAAGCTTAGCTTTTTCCTCTCCTGGAGTGACTTTGAGGATGTGGCTGCTGAAACGTGCTGCTCTAACCTTGACACAGAGAAAGGCCTGGACACCTCACCTCATCACATTACAGCAGCTGTCCTTCAGCTTGCACAGACCCAAGACCAGAAGTCATGTCCTCCAGGTCCGGCCAGAGATGGTTAGCTCCACCACACAGCCAGCCCTTTTAAGTAAATGAAACACAGGAAAATGAGACCCATGTGTAAATTACGGTATTCTGAATCTGAGACTAAAGAACAACTACTTCCAGAATTAACTTTTAGCAGATGCACAACTCAAATACTTCTTTTTAGACTTTCAGACATGAAAAATAGCCTTTATAAGGATGCTAGAAGAAGGGGGTGTAGCTGGGTAAAAGTTTGTCTGCAGTTACAGCACCCCATTTGGGCACTCGTTCAAGTCCGACTGCCTCACTTGGGTCCTGCTCCCATGCACCTGAGAATGCAGCACAGGATGGCCGAGTCTTTGGGCCCTGAGGATGGTCCTGGCTTCAGGCCGGCCCACCTCCAGCCATTGTGGCCATTTAGGGAGTGAACCAGTGGACAGAAGATCTCTCTCTCTGCTTCTCCTTTCTCTCTGCAACTCTGCCTTTCAAATAAAATAAACGAATAATGCTTTCTCTCATATCTAGTTTTCTGCAGCTAGAAGGTGGTTCATTAAATGTTTATGGATAGAAAAAGCAACACCAAATATTTACATGCCGGGATAGCTTAAAAGTTCGTGGAAAAGTGAAATTAGACGATAGCTTCTTTAAAACACAGTTTCTCAAATCTGCATGTATATCTAAATTACATTTTTTATGAATATTATCATCAAGCCTGCGTGGTGGTGTAAACAGGACTGACAGTATGGTGTCATGCGTTCAGTGAGGAGGCTCTGAAAAGGAATCTGACCTTGAGAATTTTCATTACAAAATAGTAGTTAAGTTGGACATTTTCCAGAGTTTACTGAACGTGGTGACTAAAGGAACCTGGGTATTAGGAGGAAGCTGCATTTAAGCCTCTGTGATAAAACATAACTGAGACAAGAGTGAGCCTCGCTAGCCACTGGAGGATGCCAGGCACAAAGTCAAGGTGGGGCTGCCCTCCTCACTCTGTTCCCTGCCCTCAGGCAGCATGGAGGCACGGTCTCCCTCTGCTGTGAGTGGACCGTGAGAAGAGCTGCGGTTAGTTCAGTTTCACAAACTACCTTCAGGCCTGCTTCATGCAGAACATCACCTCATATGTGTGTGAAAATTGACTCTTGCAGAAATAGATATCTTTAAATTCTGCATGGCTAGCTCATGTTAACCATATTAAAATAGTCTTGACATTTTATTCCAGAAACAGTGTAATGAAATGCGTTCTGCCATCCATGCTCTGCTTCTCTTCATTTCTGAACCTTTGTCTTCCCTTCTTCCAATGTCATGAATTATGACCACTGAAGGAAATGTTATGTTTAAAAACTGTATGTTGGATTTCTAAGTAGACTTTTTTAAGAGAATAGATGTTTCTTCAGACTGGTTGCTCTTGGATGTCAGACCTGCCCTGCCGTGCCACCTGGGGTAAGGCAGTGGTTCAAGAAAGTGCTGTCAGTTTCCTGTAAGCGTGGAAATGAATGTAGTTGAGCACATTGTGTGGTGTTGTTTTGTCGTTGCTGCCTCTGGTTTCTTGTTTACTTCACCTCCACCTCCAGAAGGTGTGGAACTCCCAGGCAAAAGCATTCTGATTCTTAGACGCACCCCTCGGCGTTACAACCCATGGTAGCTCCCAGCCGTCAAGAGGTGTTCCCCTTGTGTCTCCGCAGGTGAGCGGAAGAGTCCGTACGTCGCGGTGTGCTGTGTCGTGATGGCCTTCAGCATCCTGTTCATACAGTAGCATATGTGAAGGCCAGGCTGTAGCTGCCAGCAGAGCTCAGTGTGAACAAGGACTTACACCTGCAGATGATCTCCGAGCATTGAAGGAGATAAATTTCCAGATGCTGTTCTCTATTTAATTGGACCAATGTTCTGTATAAAAGATGTAGCCATTTCATATGCAACAAGTTTAATAGTATATCACAGTCAACCTCAGTACTGTTATTACAATATTACATTCTGCAAATGTCATGCTCCTGTGTCCAAAACCAATTTGGAATGAGATTTCTCCAAGGCACATAGTAGGAAACAAAATCGGTGAATGCTCTAGCTGCTTTTAGTGTTATTTGGAAATGATAAAGTGTTATAGAACGTGGTCTTTCTTGGGTTGGCTGTATTATTGAGAAAAGAATGACTTGGTTTGTGTTGGTGTAAGAATCGTGTTCCGTTTATGATACTTGGTTGTCATTTGGCCACACCATTTTGATCATTAACCAGAGTACCTCAAGCATTAGCAAACTGTAGCTCATTACAGATGTTTGAGACAAGCAAATGCAGGTCTTCAAGGAAGGCAAAGGTGACTTGGAAGTAATGTTCACATTTAGCACATTACGATTAGCCACCTAGCTGACTTAGCCTCCACCTCTGGTCAAATATAGATAAACGGCTTAAGAACAAAAATCTGACCGAGCAGCTGTTGTGTTCTGAGAAAGGCAACATTCTCAGAGTGGAAAGAGCAAATTCGAACAACTGCAAACACCCTACATGCAGATTTCTTCTTTTTAGTGTTATTTCTTTTAAAATGAAATATTTAATTGCCCCAAAATGAACTGTATTTTTGTTTTTATATATATTTTTTTTAATACAGCACTTTAAACCTAGTGTGTCTGTCAACTTGAACTGGAATCTCTTGTGTAATTTTGTGATAAAGTTTTCAAATCTACTTTGCTGTGTGCAATGGCATGCTTGTCTTTGAATTTTGATGGTGAAAAACGACCTTCAGCAGTTTCTGTGTCGGCAAACGTGACTTTCCCATTTATAGTAGAGCAATCGAAGGTTTATGAATGCTTGCATTTCGAGAGGCAGGCAGAGCTGCCATTTGCCGGTTCCTTCCCCCAGTGTGTGAAGCAGCCTGGACAAGGCTGGAGCCTGGAGCCAGGGAGGCCAGCCCAGTCCCACATCTGCCTCTTAGACTCCTGACTACCCCAGCCTCCACCAGTGGCCCCTACAGTTAACATTGGCTGGCCACTGGAGCCTGATCCAAGGATCGAACCCAGGCTCTGAGATATGGGATGCTGGTCATCGGAAACCGTAATGCATTTTTCTATTGCTAACATTTCTTAAGGTCAACTCAACTTCAGCTGAGATTTCAGTGTTGAGAAATTAAACCTTAGCTTGAATTATCCATTACTGGTAGTGTTAATTAGGTATTTGTAGCTCTTAAATTTTCTGTTAAGATTTAAAAGCAAACTTTTTAGAAGAAAATTTATATTTACCATTTTACAAAGTATTTCTTTCTGTGGAAATAGCATAAGCCTGAAAACCACCTGTGTAAAGACCCATTTTAGGGTACCTGGAATGGCTCTAGAGGCTAGCTAAGCAAAGAGTATTGTGTGTTGCCTGGCTTATGGCCCCAACAGTTTTGACAATGGAAGAGAAACACCTTTAGGTTGATTTGATCATGTCCCTGTGTGGTAAAAGTTGAATTCTTTGCTTTAGAGAGGAAATCAGGTTACAATTGTAGTTCCTGCTCTAAACTGTATCTTGGACTGTGCATTAGGTCAAGGATTTTTAGGGTGTCCCCAAAATAGGGCTCCATTGTCAGCACAGCTGTGCAGGATAAGTCATTCTAGGTCAGATTTCTGGGTGACCATCTGTTCAGCTCTACTACCAACTGGACTTAGCTGTGTCCACTAACTTTGTCTATTAAAATATATATCGGGTAAGAAGAAAGGAAGGCTGTATAGCCATGTCTAAGAAATTTCATATGCTTTTGTTCAGAGAGTTGCCACTGAATCCTGTTCTCCAGCTCACAAGGCAGTATAGGTAGTTTTAAGCCCCAGAGTGTATTCAGATGCTCCTGGTGTTCCTGAGGGGGTGGGGTGCCAGGAGGCAGATGGGTGTTTGGGATGTGCTGAAGTGTTGGATGGGCTGGGTCCTGGACCTGCCACAGTCCCGGGTGGCATGGTAGATGCTGAAGTTTCCGGTCTGCTGAGTTCTGATGCTTTCCCTGGGCTCTTTCTGGCTGTGGCATCTCCAGTTTCCATCTCTGCTGAAATCTGTTTTGCACTGATTTTACTCTGCATGACCTCAGATGTGTTAGTGTTGGGCTATGAAAGACCACAAAATCTGAAAGTCTCTCAGGGCTGAAGAAAGCTGGGATGGTCCAGTGCTTCGTTAGGCCCACCTCTTCTGCACTGAGCATTGTGACTGCTTTACATGTTCAAATTCCAGATATCTTGTCATGTAGTTGATGGTGGCATGGGGTCTGTGATAGGCCCCTCTGTCCTGCCAAGATGGTCAGTTCAGCTTTAGGACAACAGAGGCTTAATTAAGTCAACTTCCAAGTTAACAAAATCAGAAACAGACAGATCTCTTCTCAGTTCAGTCAGAAAGAGACCCTAGCACCTGTAATTGAAATAGTCCTTTTTTTCATTCTTTCAAAAAGCACAAAACAGTACATAGTCTTGTCATTAAAGATGGAAAGGCACTGTAGGAGTGTATGATGCAGATGGTAAAGTGAAGTTAGATGAACAAAGTGTGATGTAGTGTCGCTGTATTGCATAGTGAATGACCCTTTCGGGGGTGCAATGCTTGGGCTGAGCTTGAGCACGGCAGAAGCACAGTAGTGTACGGAGGACCTCACTTGTTGTGGTGCCAAGGGTTATTAATATATAAGCTTAAAACGGTGAACAGAGGGTCTCATGTCCTCATTTCTGTTTCCTACCTCAGAACTGAAGCTGAATGTGTTTTCCCTCCTGTCTAATGCAGAAACCCTTCAAGAAGGAAACATTCTTCCCTGGTGTGAAAGCAAGGCAGCATGTATCCACGCCTACCTTGTTTGGACTAGGATTGGCAGCAGTATAGTCTGCAGGCTTCTGTGAATGGTGTTTAAGGTAGAGATGTTAGCCAGTCACCGTAGTATTTTAGGAGCTCTTTCAACAGCTCGTGTTCCACGTGTGTCAAAAGCAGCTGTGACGAGGAAGGCATACCCCTGCACAAGAAGCACACGTGATTGCACATCCATGCTTCCTAGAGACATGGGGGAAAGCCTGTAAGCAAGAACTGGAGCTTTTCTCAAAGCTGTCAGAGGTTATAGATCAGGATAAACAGAAGACAGGTCACCCTTGAAATACTGTGCCATCTTGTTAGGTATTTTTGATCAAGTCCCAACTTGTTCCCGCCCACCCCCCAAAGTGTATTTCCTGTGATTTTAAAAGCACAGATAAATCATCCTAAACGCTGGATACTTAAAGAGCCTTCTAGTTTTCTGTTTCAAATGAGTGAAAACAATTGATGTTTTTAAAAAATGGAATTGCTGCCTTCTAAGTAAAATGGAAATGGAAACAGTTTATAATCCTTTTACTCATAGAAGGCCAAAATTAGGAGGTTTTCCCTTGGTGGTTTTGTTCACTCTACTACAGTGTCTTTGAGAAACATTGCAGGAGCCAGTGGCTCAGCTCAGCTCTCTGGTTCTGTTTGGGGGGAGGTGTTGGGTTTGGTTTTGGTTATTAGACCTGTTACGGGGAGAATTTGCCAAACCAGATTGAAACAACCACATTTCAGGATACAGTTAAAACTCAGTAATGCACATGTACTTTTGAAATTCACAGAAAATAGAATTCAGAAGTTGAGTTTGGGTCAAAAATATTGTACAAGCCCGTGGATAGTGTTTTCATAATGCACATTTTGTCCCATGGACTTTTTGAAGATACTTTCTCCTAGGTGTGAGTGGAAAAGTAATGTCTTCAGCACATCTTTTAAATCTCCGTTGCTGTTTCATTGTAAATACCAATCAATTCAAAGTGTTATGTTAAAAAGCAGCACTAAATCTGATTTCTAATGCATTGCGAAAGAATCCAAGAATAACCTTAAGTCTGTTGAATTTAATATATGACAGCAAAGTCTGTTTCTGTCAGTATCCTTGAACCTAACATTTGTCTGGAGGTCAAAATGAAAAACAGATTTTGGAAGTGAGCTTATTTTTACACACTTTGTGACATTCAAGGACACTCAGGAACTGCATGATATCAGATGCTACTGTTTGAGTTTTGACAGGGAAGTAGCCGAAGACCAAATGTGTGGAGCTCTGTGGCTTGTGCCCAGAGTCAAATACCTGTCCTTTATCAGCCACATGAACAGTTGCTGACCAGCTGTCCTGTGGGCATAGTGATTAAACCACTGCACAAGAGCCACATCCCATATCATGCCAGTTCCTCAACTTCCTATCCAACTTTTTGCTAATGACTTCTTGCCAACAATGACCCAAGTGAGACTCAGATGGAATCCTGGCCTGGCTTCACCCTGCCCAACACAGTCTCAGTGGTTGAAGACATTTGCAAAGTGAACCAGCAGATGGAAGGTCTCTGTCACCCTCTTTACCTTTCCATTATTAAATAAATCTGTAAAACAATGCGCAAAACTATTAAACTTTTTTTTTTTAAATAAATGAGGAAACAATTAAGACGTTAAGGATTTCAAGAAGGCCAGCGTCCAGGAAGTTCTGTAGTGTGCATCTGTGGTCTACAAACCTAAGACATACCAAAAGATGGGACCCTGCCTGGAAATGAGAATTTATGAAGATCCTTAGAAACCTGAAGCATTCATCAGGACTCAAGAAAATCCCAAGATCACACTTGCCTGTGTTGCTTGCAACTGTCACAATTGAAGCCTCTTCTAAATCTTTGGGGGGGAAAGGTGACAATACTGTGACTTCTAAGATGTTTTTAAAAAGGTTTTACAGCATGAAATCAAGAACTGCAGCACAAATTAGAGCAACAAAGTTGGAATTTGAAAATTTGGTAGGAAAACCTCATTGGGATCTTGGTTAGTTCTTAGCTCTGACTAACTAAAGCTAAAGCACACCAACAGTTTTAACCCATACTGTTAGTTGCTTTTAAGTCTTTCCATCATGGACTTCTTCAGAGAAGTTTAATCTGTGAACACAGCAGAAAGAAAGTTTACATGGAGAAATATTGGCGTGGTTCCTGAATCCTTCAGCAGTCAGCTTGACTTGGGCTGTAGAGCAGAAATAAAGGATAACCTTTACCTGTACCCTTGAAGAATCAAAAGTTAGTCCTATCATTTTTGGCCCACCCACTCTACCACTCAGTAATATCTTCAATATGTCCCGTTCCCAGATGCACCTTTGAACACTGGTAGTGTGCCAGAAACAGTGCTGGGTCAGAGTGTACAGTAAGACAAACCCTGCAGTCAAGGAACCTAGATTCTAATGAGGTCAACCAGCCAGAAAAAGCAATTGGACAGTTCATGCAGTCTCCAGTAGGAATCCCGGAGAGAAACCTGAAGGATGATATAGATAGGATAGTCAGGAGACGTTTATGGCTGGGCAGGCAGAGTGAGTAAGGGCAGGGGAGCCACCTTCTCAAACCCAAGGACAGGAAATAGTTCCAAACTTGAATGCTGGAGAACCTACTAGAAAGCTGATATGAAAAATACACTGAGTGGCACAAAGATAGGATTTGACCTCCCAAAATTATAGTAGTCCCTTTAAGATACATGGTGTGGTATCTGTTGAACTGAAATCCACGAAGCAGGTCAGGGGAGAAACTGCTCGGTGAAACCCCATGTCAGTTTTTGCTCTGACACTAGTGCTATGAGTGTCCTACAGAAAGAAACCAGTGCCTGTCTGCGCTGAGGACCTCTGGCTCAAGAATGAGCTAAAGGGGATGCAGGGAAGGCAGTGTCAGGACCAGCCGCTGC